TTTCAACACGCAGTCGAGCCGCGCTGTCCTTATCATCGGCGAAGAGAACACAAAACTATGGAAAATGATCAGCGAGTCTGCCCTTAAAGGCTTGGAAGGTGAGTTTACTTGACACACTGATAAGAAGCCGACTGATCCTTCTTTTAGGAGAGATGAAGGCTACCGTCCAGGGCAAGCTGACAGCATTCGGTGGAGGCTACGGATCTGTCTTGTTCTTCGAGGACCAGGCTGTCATTGACGCCATCACCGCCAAAATCCCCGCGTACGTCCTCGATTGGGTTTCTGCACGGCTTTTCAATTGATCACCGGGGAAAAATAGATATACCAAGCAGTTCCCGGTCTGGAGCACAAACGCTACGGGTATGCTGCAGCATTCAGTGTGGACGGCGTTCACGCTGGAGGGTCTGGGAGCCAATCTGCAGCACAACGGGGCCTATTCAGACGAGCTCGTTGCCGATATCCAGAAAACCTGGGGTCTTCCTTCGACGTGGAAGTCGACCGCGATACTGCCGTTCGGTGTGCCCGCGGCCCCTCCTGCTGAGAAGCAGTTCGGTCCAATCGAGCCCCGCGTTAAGGTCTTCAAAGCATAGGTAGTTTAGCATCATGTAACATAGAGCGCAGCATTTTCTTGGAACTGTTGGGTCGACTCATTCCCTCGCACACAGCAAGTTTGAGGTTTGGAAAGCGCTGGCATTCGATCGATTTCTGCTTGTGAGAATCACACGAAACTTGAAAGTTCTTGTCTTGTCATCAGCGCCGAGAAGCTCTTGTCATCAGCGCCGAGAAGCACTTGCTGATCGCCGTCTCGATAAAATACTGATCGAATCTTGAGTGGAAGAAGCCATCGTGCGACAGTTACAAAAGTACAGTCGCTTGCGCGCGACAAGGGTAAGCTGTTTAGATTAGGTACATGCTACAAGATGGGATGGATATACATGGTCAGCGATATACCGGATATGGGATCACAGGCGGCGGATTCTCAATCGGGGCAAAGTTTCTGCAAACAGAAGTTGTCAGGAAGCCAGGCGTTGGGGTACACAAGCGCGAGACTCACTTCAACGCTTGCATGTCGACCTGTAAGGCAAGGCAAGGCAAAGCGATCAGCGACCGTATGCCGTGAAAACCGAGATAAGAAACTAACGGGAGACTTAAAAGCCATGAAACAATGCGCGTCGTTGTGCGTGTCGACACCCTCGCACGCGTCGCAAAGGTCGACGGCGCAATAGGCGCAGCGGAACCAGATGCCTTGGATGTTGGACATGCAGCGGTCGCAGATTGCTGCGCTATGCGACAGCGAGGAGAGGTAGGTATGCGGGTCCACCCCCGGCGGGGGTCCTGCTGGCGGCTTGTATCTGTGGTGAAGGTAGTTAGCACAGGGAGCATAAGGAGAGAAACGACGCACAGTCTCGGAAGGAAGGCAAAAGGCGATACCAAGGGCCGCTGGACCGGGCGGGGGAGCTTGAAGAATACATGGCCCGGGTCGTGGAGGGTATACGAGTGTTCTTCGCAGTTACCACACTGATCAAGCGTAAGCACAGGCCCTGGATGATAGAGAAGCAGTCTCACCAAGCTGAAGCCCTGCGGCTGGGACGGACAGTTCGCGCACTGGTAGCGCACTCCGAGGATGTTCTAAAGAGCTCAGGTCAGCCCCATCCATGATCTCAAAGCACTGTAGCATGACTGACCTTCCCGCACCCGTGGCAGAAGGTATGATGGTCTTCGTCCGGAGCCAGCCGTGTGCCAGACCCTATGACTGTCCGTGCATACGAGGAGACGACCGAGCTCGCTTTGGACGGCTTCGGCGGCTGGTGGCCGACGCTCGCAGCATCCCGGCCCTGCCACAAGTGGATCGCTCTTCGACTCGCCGTTTGCACCTAATCAGTCTGGTGTCAGTGCGGCGCCCAAGTACGTGAAAAAGTGTTGATCACTTCGTCTGTTTCCAGCGGATATGGGATCTGAGGTGTCGGTCAGCCGGCTTCGGCCAAAAAGACGCTGGAGGAAATCGGACCTTGATCAGGATATGCGACGAATTATGCCCTCCGTCGGCGGAGTCAAGATTGCCCGGCAAGCCCGCCGATTCGCAGTTTGAGCAAATGTCGACGGCGTCGCAAATGGCGCAATGGAAGCGTGCGCCGACGATGTCAAGCATACAGCTGCGGAAGTGTCAGATGCATGGCAAAATCCGCTTAGGGGTACGGCTTACTGCGCGCATCGGACGCCTGGGTGTGTTAACGCTGCGGAATGAATGGGGTGAATTTGAAATGGATGAGAACAGCATGGCACATACATTTCTCCCCTTCGGGTCCTATATCGGGGGGAACGGTCTCGAAGTACCCCGAGTCGCTTACTGGCATGTCGGGTACGACAAGGAAGGCGTGCGACGGGTGAAGATCATGTACTTGACTAGATTGCTGTTAGCGTACGACCCCATGTCGAGAGCGATACACAAACCTGTAGCACGCCCGACACAGATTGAACTTCTTGCATGACGCGCACTTGTACCGATGATGCGTCGTGACCGCCGCACAGGTCGAACACTGGTGTATCTCGTTCTCGTCTTGTTCTACGGACGCCAAAGAGTCAGCTCGGACGACAACCAACTGGGGAATATTACACACCGACGTCCTCCCACCCGAGCGGTCCCCATACCTTCTCGTGATACGCATGTCGCGTCTGCCCCTTCTTCGGCGCCAGCCGCCGCCACTCCAACGCGCGCTGAGCATCGGCGGGCGACGACGGGCTCACACTCGGCGACGCCGAGCCCGGGGACAGCCCGGCCTCGATCGCATGCGTCACCCCGGCGTGCTCGATGCACCCGGAGCACAGCTCGTACCCAGGGTCGACGTCGCGCGCTTGCCCGGGGGGGACGACGAGCGTCGCCTGGGAGCTGTACGCGCTGCCAGCGGACGCAGAAAGCCCGGGCAAGCGCGGAAGCGGCTTAAAGTGGCGCATCGAGCCGTTGAGCGACTCCGTGCTCCCACCGACTCCCAGGAACGTCCGCGACGAAGAGGGAGAGTTATCGTGTTGGTGTTTGTGCGGCCGCGGGGGATACGAGTACTGGTGTTCGTGGGGCACTTGGAACGTGCCTGGCGGCTGCTGGTAGTCGGGTTGAGCATGGCCGGATCCGGAGAAGAAGTCCGGGGCCCCATGCTCTTGTTGACCGTGGGTGCTCCGCCCCTTTCCTTTGGTCGACTGGCTCGCCGGCTTCTTCTCTCCGCAGATGGAACACACGTAGCGGATGGAATCCAGGAGTACACCGCATTCGGAGCAGTCGGTGAGGGTCTCGGGAGCTGGGGGATTGAGGGGAAGGAACTGCAGCAGTTCCCGGGGAATCGTGTCGGAGGTGTACGGCTGATCTTGCGGATGCTCGTACGCCTCGGGCTGAAATGGGTTTGTTGAAGGCGGGGGGCGGGAAGAGACAGCTTGTTGCGCCGCAAGCCAGTTAAGCTGCCGAGAGGAGGGACGCGGTTTCGGTTGAGGCTGACACTCGTTCATGTTCGGGGCGTCTTCATAGTACACCGAGTCGCGAGTTTGCGATTGTGAGGCGGAAGACGATCGATACGAGTAATAGTACTTTCCCCGCGTGTCCTGCTCCAACGCCAATGCCCCTGCGAGCTCCTCCTCGTCCTCCTCAGGTATTGAGGTGACACCGGAGGAGATTGACGGCTCGGGCAACGCCCCGAGCCTGGAACGAATGGCTCGTGCGTTTTGGTCCCGCAACCAAGCGGCGCCGCGATCGTTATCGTCGAGATTGTCGTGCTGGACGCTCGATGAATCGTCCGGGATAGACTCGGCGAGCTTGAGTCGCTCGAAAACAGCGGCAGGGTCCGAATAACGTTCCTCGGCGTGTTGTTCGTCAGAGAATGGGTCGCTAGGATTGGACTGGTAACGCAACGTAGTGCTGGGGCCAAGGGTAGGACCTTGCTCTGACAGCACATCCCAGGATTGCTGTGAGGTCCCCTCGTGAACGGACTGATCTGCGCGGGACACCGCATCTCTCGAGCTGACGGTAACCGAGTCGTCGTCGAGGTCGACCGTGGGAGCACCAAACGAGAAAGACTGCTGGCTCCCGTTCCGATTCTTGTACTCCTCGAGACTTGCGAGCGATGAGGTATCGGACAGACTAGGTCCGTCATAGTCAACCGATATGTTCACCCGCAGTGTTATTTTGCGATTCCCGAAGCTGCGCCCAGACAAGATCGAAGCTGCAGAAGATAATGGGGGATCGTCGCTGCCTGCCTGGAAATACTGTATAGCCTCCGTCAAGTCCGAGTCCGTTGTGATATCGGTCACTTCGCCGTCGTCGTCCTTGTACGCTATCGCATATGAAGTAGCATAGAGAGAGAAGCACTGTTCGACCTAGAATATTCTGAGATACAGGCGAAAGTGCGAGACTCTGAGTCATACCTTGTGCCGCAGGAGATCATAGCTGCAATTTCGGGCAGAGGAGAACGTTATCCGTTTATTCCAGCGGTCGAATGTGCACTTCACGACGAGCGGGCGGTCAGGACGTCTATCCATGAACGCTGCGCAAAAGATAGTCCGACGTCGACTCCGGAGTCCGACTTCAGTAAGCGGGGATGGGGCTGTGCCTAGTCACGCATACGCCCCCACGTGCTCTGATCTGGGGACGCGTCAATTTCGCGTCCAGTGAAAGTATGGAGAGCCGCTGAGATCTGGATACTCAGTGTCAGCATCCAAGTCAACGCGCCCTATGTATGGCTGCCGAAGGATTTCAGCCTGTGGATGAGTCTGATATACCTGCGCGGGTTGTTATTCATAGTGCTCGTTCATATGTAGCTCGCGCTTGCGCGGAACGAAAAAAAGATGTGATACGATTGGCAAGGTCGAGTCCACGAGCTACCTCGGAACGGAGCAGCATAAAAGTAAAAAGTGTGAAACCCAGCCTTTGTACCAAGAGAAGCATATACTGTATGTTTCGTCGCGGATGCTCACTTCTTGTGACAGCAGGTAACCCGTACCAGCACCCGGCTCCCTGGTGTCACTTGAGGGACTCGAACCCTCGACCATCTCACTTCGGCGTTTAGACCTCCATGGGCGGGTTGCCACTAACCCATAGTGACACAAAGGAGAGGTATTTTTAGTGAATATCTACTTGCCTTGAAACAACTCTGAGCAAGACCGGGCGCAAGATCTCGGGACTAGTCAGCCCCAGGCAGAGATTCTGAGAGAACAAAGGATCTCCCGGAATCAGTGTGTCACGTTTTTTGCTTGCACCGCTCCTCAACCCCTCTTGCAGTATGTGCAGCCATTCATCTTCCTCGGAAGGGATTTTCTGGCTCCGGTCATTTCTCATGACAGCCTTTCACCGCACGCCATAACTCTGCAACGGAACAATCCGCTTGGGCGTTTCTCCTTTCAAGACGCTCTTCAAGTTGGGCAATATTTTCTTCCTTCGCGGGGCTCTAGCGGCGCAGCTGCTGAAAAAGCCTTGAAGCTCCCCCAGGCTTTTTGGAGAGTAGGAGCCACAAAGTGAGGGTGTGTTCTCGTCGCTCTTGCACTGTGAAGTTCTCCCCCGCTGCCGCTGGTACTAAGTTAGTCGGTGCAAAATGTCCTCGATTCCAATATTTGTATGTATGTGAAGCCTCAATCCGATTATACGTAGATTGTTTGTCATAGCTGGACCGGTAGGATCCACCAGTCTCAGTTTCAATGTAGGTACTTTCCCAATTTTCCCGATTAGGTTTCTCACATTGACGTGTTGACGCGCCAGTGGCGGTGTAAAGAAGCAATCACATGCTGTTTTGTTTCCTTCTCGCCTCTTCCTTCTCGCCACCACCTCGCCACCGATGGTTGCCCCCAAAATCCTCGAACGTGCAGCTATTGGGGCTCTACAGAACCCCGCCCTTCTCGTTTCTCGTTTCCCCTCTCTGCCCCATGAAGACTGGGTGCGGTTGGTGCCAGTGGCAGTAACGGACTCGGACCCGCCGCCAGACCTCGCCGACTCGGACGTCACAGAACCCCCCCCCCGCGCTGGACTCATAGAAGTTTTCTCGGACATTGGGCGGACCCTAGTTCTTCTCTCCCTCAAGGTCGTCGCATCGGACTACATTGCGAGCCGGCCGCCCGGATTTTCCAAGGTGTGTATGGGCAGGCAGTCACGAGTAGGCACATCTAACAATGAACATCACGCCCAGGCCCTCGAAGCTTGCCTGCTTGCAAGCGACATGCTAAAGAAGATACTGGCACGCATCGATCCCCGGACAATCTTCAATAGCGTCGCGAGGGTTGATGGCGGTTTTTATGCTTTCGTGGGAGGGGTTTGGTACCGGGCGAAGCGCAACATCGTCCAGGTTACTTCCTGGCTTTCGGTGATTCTGGAACCTCTCGTGGAGGCAATTGCGATCGCTTATAGCGCGAAGTACGTCGTTCATCCAGAGCCTTTTGCTAGAAATACTTACTCGTGGCCAAGCTGGACCGCCCCGCAAGCCAGAAGATCCTCTACCTCGCACTTTAGCGCATCGCACGGTGTGTCTACCATCGCATCAGGTATAGAAGCGATGAATTCTTATATTCATGGCTCCAGATGTCTTGCTCCTCACTAACTTGCGGGACATCCAACTGTCAAATGCCAGAGCGCTTGGGGTGGGCCTAGATAGTGTCGTACGTTTTCCTTCGTTCAGTTCCATGTGCCTACGGACTCACAGTGGGATATCCAGGACTACGATATTCTGGCGAATGTCGGTACCCTTTTGGCCATGGTATAGGAGCCCTGCGAGCTCACACGGTTCCTAGGAGTCTCCCTTTGCGCCAGGCACGTTGTATTGGAGTGGGATCGAGACGGAGTTGCCGGTCCTTCCGGAAGAGGTTCGCTGTTCCATACATCTCATACGCACATTCCCAACGCCAAGTTATTAGTACAATAGCACACCTCGCGCTCGGAGAAGCACAGTGCCAAGTTCTCAACTCGAAACTGTACGCTTTCCCCGCGCTCAACTCTATAAGCAAGGATACTCATCTCTTCGTAGGCGCAATCGCTGCCGCTCCCTTTACAAGACCTTGGGTACAGACATCCGGCGTCTGGTAGAGCAGAGGGCTCCGAGAACCGCCTCCCCGTCGATCTAGCGGAATTCCAGGTAACCATCGTTCAGCATGAAAAGATTATATGGATTGATAAAAGCCACAGGCTCCTTTCCCGCCGGTACTTGACCCCGCATTTCTCATGTCAATGCGCTCTGATGTTTTCTTTATCCCAGAATGCCTCCAATGCAGGGCCCTCGCGCCGCCCCCTCACGCCCCACAACGGTGATAATCGTGATCCTCCCTGTGCAGAGAAATGGGTTTGATTCGATGACGGATAAATATGGTGAGTATCGAGTCGATTCGTGCACGTTCGATCTTGTTGATTCCGTTCCAGGGAATAAATCTAGCTGAACCTCAAGCGCGGAGCGGGGCCAGGATCTTCGATATTCTAGTAGTCTAGTAATGCCGGTGAGTCTTGAGTCGCTTTAAGTGCGTCCCTCTCGTTGACCTTTGCAGACATCGGTCGTATGTTGTTGTGCGTATGTAATTGAGTAAGGATATCTACTGTAGACCATCGGTACTAGAATTTCAACGCATCGTTGTCAAGTCAACCGTGGGAGCGTAGATTCGGTCTTTGACCTCGGGACACCGACGATGATTCTTTATGAACTTCGTTCACTCTGAAGAATAACATTCGTAGATTTTGTACACCACATCTTTCTCCATTACGCCTTTCATCAAGGGGAGAAAATACGTAAGTCTTCCCACGGTTCAAAACTTGGTTCGAAGTCACTCATACTAATCAGTTCGCAGGAACCCAATGCCGCACGGTGTGGTACAACTTCAGCTCAAGAGAAATATTGGTTCGCTTGGGCAAGGGGGCTTGACTCAGCTAAGAGGATCACGGGTCTGTATTAACCATCCATTACCAAGCGCCTGTGGCGATATGCTGAGATCGCGAAGGTCGCGTCGAGAAATTCGCAGAGATGCCTCGGGGACCATTAATGATATGCCCGAGCTGTGTGAGCTCCGCCATAAAGTCAGAAGTCTCGCAGCCCACTTGGCGGCACTACTCCAATTCTTCCCTTGACCAGTCTCTTCTTTATCGATATATATGGCAGGTGGAAATTTCGGCACACAAATGTCCAGTGGGTCCGAAACCCCGAAGCTTACTCTTCATTGGCTGGAGGAATCACGCTCGCAGCGTATTGTATGGCTCCTCGAAGAACTGAACATACCCTACGAAATCAAAATTCACAAACGGGATCCCAAGACGCAACTCGCTACCGCGGACTCAGGCTCGAAAGAAGCTCATCCCTTGCGCAAGTCCTCCGCGCTCTAGCAGAGTCGGGCTTGATTGTGGAGTACCTGGGTGATCACTTTGGTCCGACGTTGATCCCAACCAAGTGGAAGGCTGGGTGGGAAGAGATGGTCGGCGGCGAGACTGAAGCATATCTCCGCCATCGGTTTCTCATGCACTACTGCGAGGGCTCTCTGATGGCGGTGTTACTTGTGTCCTTGTTCTCCCATAGTTCGTCCATCCCTTTGATCATGTTAAACTTTTTTATCCACGCTCACACCCTTAGACTGCAGAAATCAAAACCGCGCACGTTCCGTTCTTACTCCGCCCCATAATGTCCTTCATCTCCACGAAAATCAACCATCAACCACTGGTACATCGACCCAGATCTCATGACTCACTTCGAGGCTCGGCTCCCGATGGCGGCCCGTATCTGTGCGCAAACAAGTTGACAGGCGCAGATATCATGATGAGTTTCCCCGTTATGCTGGTGATGAGCGAGATGTGGGATCGGGGCCCGGCAAACTTGAACGAGAGCTCGTTTCCGAGATTGTTCGCATACTCAGAGGAGCTGAAGAAAGGCGAGGGTTACAAGAGAGCGGCGGAGAAGATTGCTGCTCTCGAGGGAGATCTAGAGGATTCTGAGTACTCGCTAGTATGAGCTCGTGCACTCTGCCGGAATTCATTTGTGACGCCAGAGGCTGGCTGCTGGCTGTTTAGCATCATTTGGATCCGAACGAGAGGAGAAGTGACCTATGCCCGGACAACAGTGCACGCATGAACATTGAGAGAAAAGACGGAACATCTGGGACTCGAACCAACGTCTGATCGTATGATGGCACGATCATTGCGTGATGAGAGTCAACCTGTTACCTCACGCCGGCAACAAATTTCCGATGACCAGCATGAGCTCGCCGATGCGCGAGTCTGCCGCGCCTCCAATTCATTCTCAGTTGCTGCGTCGTCGAACTTCTTGCGCCTTTGACCCCGGATGATCGGCGAGAAGTTTGTGAGGTCACGCGCTTTCCGAGGGTTTCGCCTTGCTTTCGCCCCCAAAGCGCCCCGCTCTAGCCTCTTGCCGTTCCAGAACTGAGAACATCAGAACCCCAGGAGATTCTGCGACCCAAATCCTCGGAGCTTGGACTTTCGTACGGCCAAATTTAACAGACTTCACAGCCCGTCTGCAGCACGTCAGTGGACTGCTGTGAATGCAGGAGCTTTTAGGCAAGTTGCAGTAGCTTCTTGGATGGGCGCCTTGAGATTACGCCTGGGCCCTGGACCAGGACCCTGCAGAACGACCCCAAAAACAAGCGCCGAGCAGAAAATAGCGATTACACGCCTATAACGCGTCGACGGACGCGTCAATTTGCATTGGTCACGGCAATTCTGGAGGTAGAATCAAGAACCTCCGTGTGCGATCGATAACCCCGCAGCGAAGCCTCATGGCACTGCTAGGCGCTGAATCACCGGCCTGAGCCTTATACTGGGTCAAGCACCGTTCACTCTTCTCCAGCACCTCCCTCTGCCCCCTGCTACAATGTCTTACTGCCCCCCTGGAGCTTTCCCTGGCGCCTGGCCCGACCCATACCTTGAAGACGACGATGCAGGCAAGATGATTTCACGCTGTGTTTACTTTCTTTGTCTCATAGGGAAATAAAGGCACCGACAAGACAACGAGCAAAACCGAATCACCTCCATGTACAAACCCTGTGCCTGGTAAGCGTTTCTGCTGCGTACTTCCAGACCTCACTAGACTGTCCTTCCAGACGACGCGGACGAAGAGCTGGAAAGCCATATCAG